CGGGAGGGGTCTCTAGGCAGCGGGTGCTGGGCATAGGGATCTGTGGAGGAAGTCTCTGGGTGAGGGGGCGCTGGCATAAGGGCAGGGCTGGGGGCAGTGTGGAAGGGGCACGCTGGCAGAGCAGGGCTGGGCGGGCCAGTGTGCGTCTAGCAGTTTGGGGTTTGTAAACAGTGCCCTTGTGCTGGGCTGAGTGGGACCACTCCCGCTGTGCTGTGTCTCATTGCCCCCAACTGGCCCCTCGCTCTGCGGACCGCTCCCATCACATGCCCTATTTCCCCAATGGGGGCCCACAAATATGTTTGGTGCTGGGCCCACAAAAAGTCAATCCGGCCCTGTGCCTAGCAAGAAAACACAAAGGCAGTTTCCTGAGGCATTCCAGTTCTTATATCACCACCAAAAATCCTAGATTCAGAGATAAGTGATTCTTTACAACCTGTCCCATCAAATAATAGGTTCTTCTGATCCCAAAGGTCCAGCCACACACCCAGGTCAATATATAACTTAGATCTCATCCAAAAATCACGCTGGTCCCGAAGTGAGACCAGATGACGCTTCACCGGCCACCACATCCTGGGAACTGACTGAGGTGATTTGCATGAGGTGTGTGTGTGGTGGGAAGTATAAAATGGGGCCCAATTTTAAAAAGAGTTCAGAAGAGCCAGATCCCCAGCAGGGGTCAGTCAGCTGACACTGCATCGGAGACAATGAAAAGTTCAAAAAATGACTACAGATGAAATTCCAGCCCATAAATCACATTAAAGAAGACAATAATATTGATTTAAAAATCTACTTACATGAGAGTCCAGCCAGAAATAAGAATGTTCACAATGGGAATTCCATCGGGAGGGGAGAGTAATCCATTTCAGTAGCCTGTGACACAGAGGAATTGACATTTCTGAGCCAGTAGTCTCCACTGTTTGTGGGATTTCATGTTACGTTTATATATGTGTTACAACGTGTAAGTTTTGCATGCTAATAAAATACCATTCGTAGAAGAAAAACAGGGCCCGGAGTTCTCAAACGAGCATAAGAGAATAAGTCACACAAATCCCTTCTTAATTCAGTGGGAAATAGGTATCCAAATCACTATGAAAACCAGCAGGATGTGGGTGTCCAATTCTCTTAGGCTTCAAAACCCCACCCTAGGGTTTTGGTGCTCATAGACAAACAGAGGACAGGAACAAGGAGAGATGGTGTCAGATGGACTGGGGGAAGGAGGGGAAACCGGACAAAGAATTGCAGAAAGATTCACAGGGGAGAACTTTCAAACATGGCATAGAAAAAAGCTGCACAACAATGTTACTCACTGCCATAATCTAATAATGAGCTGAGAGCTTTACTGCACTCAGAAAAAATCAGGCAGGAGAACGCCCCAAGATACACTGGGATTCAATGGGGGCTAAAGTTACATACATGCCTAAGTCTGAAAATTACAAAGAAGTTTAAAGAGAGTTAGGTGCCAAAATCCCATTGATTTTCAGTAGGAGTTAGATACCCAGGCTGGCATCTTCAATAGGTTCTAAGGGAGTTTTCAAAGAGTTCGATGAAAAATTCCCTTTGAGTTTGAATGGGATTTGGGTACCTAACACCATCAGGCCTCTTTGAAATGCTAGCCCGAACTCTCTTAGGCTTCTTTGAATATCCCAGCCCAATTTCACTCAGGCTTCTTTGAAAATACCATCCTAGGAATTTTAGCTGATCCTGGTTCTTTACATCAATGCAACTCTATTGATTTCAGTGAAATCACTCTGAATTCACATTGGTGTGATTGGCTCACATTCAGGACCTAGGCCTGCAGGAGGATAAATGTGTTCTCTGTTCACATTGAGTTGTCTGTGAGAACCTGCTGGCAGACAGGGGCACTGTGTGTCTTCTATTCACATTCTCTCTGTGTAACTTTCAGACAGAAGTACACTGCACTGTCCTCGGGTCAGAGACTGTTCTTTTGCAAAGACAGGGTGCAGTGGGACTTATTCTTGGAGAGAGTGAATGACTTTTTAATTATCTGCATAAAACGCACCAACATTATACATTGGGCTGGCTGCACAATCAAGGGCCCCACTCCTGTCATTTCTCCGCAGCCTGTCGGGAGAACTCTTCCGGGGAGAATTACTGGCTTTTGCACATCCCCTCCAGTGATCACTAGAGGGGTTTGGGACTGGACATCTGAAGATGAAGAAACTGAGAATTCAGAGGGACCGGATTCTCAGTTCCATTGACTACAATGGCCTACTCTGACTTTCATGAGTTTTTGGGGAGTTTTACCTTTGGAAGTTGTTATAGCAAATATGAAATTGAGCACAAACGATCTATCTATCTATCTATCTATCTATCTATCTATCTATCCCCATTGACACCCATCTAGCTATGGTATTGCTATAGCTCCTGTTACTATAATATCGGTTAGATTATGGAAAGAGGTCTCATAATAATAATTACACAAACCCAGAGGGACTGTGGTGTGTCTGTCTGACAGAGTCAGAATCAGCGAATTCACCCTTTGAAAAAGGAAGCACAATAACATCATTTGCACAGTGTCATTTTTGTAAGTCAGAGAGAAACTCCCAATGCTCAATGAGCTGCTCCATTGGCCTGGGGCTCCAGGGGCGTGGCCATCAGGCAAAACTGAGTAGGTCCAGTTCTGTCCTTCAGCCCCAATCCCCAAATACGTAGGCCTCGCCTATACATAAATGTTAACTAAAAGCATTTTGGAAAATCAATTTATTTCACACTCGTGTATGGCCACGTAAACCCAGCTCATGTGAATGTAGCTTGTGTTGGTAACTTGCCTTCTCTTGGGTGTGAGGTAGAGAAGCAACAAGGAGCCCAGGGTTGCAATTACAATAACAATAATAGCACTAATATAGTGCATTTCATCGGTAGAGAAGGAAAATGACTTGTCAAAACTCACTGAGGAGATCAGTGGCAGAAGGGAACCCAGGTGTCCTGATGCCCAGTGCACTGCCCTGTCCACCAGACAACGCTGCCTCTTCATTTTGTCTGTAAAAGTAGTTTCCCTTCACCTGCCCCAATTCTCTGTAGTCCAGTCTCTGTTTTTCTATTGACTTGTTCGGGGGACACTAGTGAACTTGGTTTCGCTGTTCAGAATCCGCTTCCCCCTTTTGTATCAGTCCCTGCGCTGCTCCCTGTCAGTAACACGTGGCGGTGGCTGCCAGCGAGCGGAGCTGCAGGGAGAACTGGTTCTTGGAGGAATATGCTCGACTTGAAGAGGGCCCAGTCGATCTGTCCCACCCACTCCAGCCCTTTCCCGGGAGCCGGCCGGACCCATTCCCAGTAATTATAGTAACCGAGTCCCCGGAGATCGCACAGGTCAGTGCAAGGGTCTCTCCGGGCTTCACCATGCCTGGGCCAGACTGGACCAGCTGAACTTGGGACAGGACAGTAAAACATCGCATCAATTAATTGAATCATCCCCCAGCACTATGTATTTACCTTCCCCTGCAGCAGTTACTTACATCCCGGGGCAGCCAATAGGGAAAGGAAAAGCACCAGAAACTTCATTATTTGCAATCAAGGACTAAAATGTGCCCAGCCAGCAGGAACGGGCAGTTCAGTGCTGGAGAGGGACTGCGGCTCCTAGAACCAGCGGTTTGTATTTAGACAGGAAGCAGTATTTGCATGCGGGTTTCATTCAGCGAGGATAAAAAGGGCTGACAGAGGGAGGCTCTGGCTAAAAGGGGACCTGTCCCCAGACACAAAGGGGGAGAATTCATCTGGGCTCCAGGACTGAAATCTCAGCTTGTCTCCAGCTGCAGAGAATTAGCCACGGTGCATATGGCCATATGGGGTCAGACCCAAATTCCATCTAGTCTAATAGCAGCTCTCTGACACTGGCCAGCAACAGATGCTTCAGAGGAAAGTGTAAGAGACCCAGCAGGGGGCAGTGTGGAGTAATCTGCCTTCCACATTAGATCTCATCCTGATTTCCAATAGTGAGAGATTGGCTTAAACCCTGAAGCACCGGGTTTAACATCCCTTTCAAATACAGGTTGTGGTGAGTTATGACAACTCTGGGTATTCTTGAGATCCGTATAAATGTCCCGTCTGTTGAAGTCTAAATTTGTGACAAGAGCCCTACCTTTCATCCTGTGAAAGCCATAGAGGAAGGATTACACTGTGGTTAAACCACTGAACTAGAAATGGAGAGAGCAGAATTCCTGTCCTCACTCTGGCACAGGCTGCCTGTTTGGGCAAAACATTTAATCACTCCGTGCCTCAGTTTCCCCACCTGCAATATGGTGGGTAGTGATACTTTCGCTACCTCTCAAGGAGGGAGCGATGAGAGTAAAATTCATTCATGGGTGTGAGGTGTTCAGATATTGTGCAAATTAGAGTTGAATAATAATAATAATTAATAATACTAGGAGGAGGAGGAGCAGACAGAAGGTAGTCAATAGAGAGACGAAGAAAGGTGAGGTAGCTCGACAATTACAGACTATATGTATGGGCTGCCGTGTGATATTTTGTAGCATCTCTAAGTGAACAGTCGCACGCTGTTAATGTCAAATACTGTTTGCTTAATTATAATGTCCTATTGGTTTCAATCAGTTTAGCTGGATTCTCTGTGAGACTGAAAATGAAACGCACATTTCCCATTTCCTTGTGATTTTTCTTTCGGAACATGGAGCTGGTCATCAGCGCCTGATCTGAGGGTTAAGCACGGCAGAAGTATGGTCACTCCTCTTCAGTGTGTCCCCAATGGTGGCATCGCTAAAGGGGGCATTGCCTCGGCCAGAATACCGCAGATGATGTTTTCGCAGATCAGACTGTTTGGGGGAGAGGTAAGGGAGGTGGAGCGCCCCTGAAAAATGTATCATTCTCTGGATGTAAATATCTAAATATTCGGTTTTCTGCGAAATTAACAGACAGAAAGAAAACAACATCAGTGTAATTGATTTCTTCCTTTGTCTGGTTTCTCGTTGTTGAGGTAATTGTGGTTTATAGCCCTCGACTGCCCCCAAGGGCTGACTACATTGTTTTCAATCTACAGCGGGAGGTTTTTGCCTGAGTACAAATTCATTTCCCCTCACTGTGTGTCTCGCACAGTAATACCGGGCGGTGTCCTCAGGCTTCAGGTCGGTCATTTGCAGATACACCGTGTTGATGGAGTTGTCCCGGGAAATGGTGAATCGTCCTTGAACAGCCGGAGAGTACCATTGGCTCGATCCAGTCGGTTTACTGACCTGAGCCACCCACTCCAGGCCCTTTCCGGCAGCCTGTCGGACCCAATGCATGCTGTGGTTGCTGAAGGTGAACCTGGAGGCTTTGCAGGAGAGGCGGAGAGAGTCTCCGGGCTTTTTCATATCCCCTCCAGACTCCACCAGCTGGACCTGGGACCGGGCACCTGGGAATAAAGACATTAATAATCATATCAATGCTAGTTTCAAATACTCAAACATTCCTCCATGTCTCCAGTGTAATAGAGAGAAAGAGAGAGAGAGAAATACCATCCAAAGCTGCCACAATGAAAACTAAATAGAGCCAAAGCCTCATTTTTCCCGAGGCTGGAGAAGAAAGTTCTCAAGGGGGGTGGCTGGTAACTGCGCAGACCCAGAGGCTGTGGATTGTCTCTCCGGATGCAGCCTGGGCAGAGAGAGGCACAGATTTAAACAGGAAAGTGCCACCCCCCTTTGCATATCCCGCTCTTTATAAGGGACACAAACTCCTCTCCTCAGAGATGTAAATTATTAACACACTGGCTCAGAGGTGGGGTCAGACTGTTCCTTATACATTTGTATATGGGAGAAATAAACAGCTCCCTTGAATAACCAGAATTCTTTACCTGGGGATTTGGGGCCCCATACAAAATCTATTCCAGTCAACTAAGAGATGGTGGGAGATTCCGCTCTGAAGCCCGCACTCCCCATGCACCGTGGGGCGGTGGTTCTGTCGGGTCAGTGACTGGGGTCAGGTCACAGGTTTGGGGGACACCCGCTGGAGGGTGAAGGTTCCCCGGGGCGCTGGGGCAAAGTGGCCCATTCCTTTTCCCAGCAGGGGCCCGCTCCACGGACATGCGCAGTGACCAGGGGGCCAGGTCCCCAGCAGGAGCGCCTCGTGCACGGAGCGGGACCGGTGCTGCAGATTGTCGCTGGAGATGGGAGAAGGGCTCGGAGGAAAGTCTGAGGCCAGAGTTCACAGCTGGATGCGCAGTGCCAGGGCGGTGAATGTGCTGAGGGCAGAAAGTCTCGGGGGTGGGGGAGGGCCACAGAGTGTCACTGACAGGGGAGAATTTCAGGTGGGTTTAGAAAAACCTGAGGGATTCTTCACCCGTAACTCCTCATTACCTGGCTTCTCTGGGTTCGGGTTGATGGTGGGAATTTGCAGCTTAGAGGCAGGCCAGTGCAATGCCTGTGTATAATGGGGATAACAGCGATGGGGCGGTTCAGGAGTGGGTCTCGGGTGGGTTGAGCTGAAGTGTAATTCCTAAACCAGATCCTGGACTTTGTGTGGGGGGCGTGGCTGTGGGGTTGGGTGGTTTTTTTGGGGGGGGGCTGGGGGGGGAGAAGGAACCAAGATTCCTGGGCTTTGCATATTGCTGTCAGGAGTTGCTGTAGCACATTGAGATGTGGGATCCAATCCCCGGGGAGGGAGAGATGTCCAGAGGTCACCGCTCTTCGAATGAAGAGGGAGCCTGGATTAGCCGTAGCAGAGAGGGGAACAGGCCAGGGAGAGAGGGTCTCTATGGGGTGGTGACAGTAACTGAACCCCACAGTGTGTCCGGTATAGAAGGCAGAGAGTGCACCCAGCCTTTTCGGTCTCTGTGGGGTGAGGGAGGCTGTGGGTAGCCGTGGTAGGTAGGTGCAGAGAGGAGGAAAATGGGCAGTAACGTAGGGTCTCTATGAGGTGAGAGTGGTCGTGGGGGGCAGTGGGGGGAGGTGTAAAGGGGAGGGGAGAGTTCTAGTGTGAGGGGGCGTGTCAGTATCATACTCTCCTAATTACACTTTTGACGGAATGGAAATGAAAAACATGAATGCACAGACATACTGTTCCTATTTCCCTTTGTAGTCCCATTTATACTCCACTTCATATCCCCATTCATATCCATATTCAAATTAATACCCCCTGGATACTTCCATTTCGATTCCCCTTCCCATTCATATTTCTGTTTGGATTCATACCCACTTTGGCCTTCCTCTTCCCACCACGGAGCATGAAACTCACAGATATGTTTCCTTTGGATTGTTGTGGGAATATGGATCTGGGCATCAGACCCTCAAATGCTTCGGAGCCACTCAGGTGGTGCATAGGCGCTTGTGGTGCCCCCTCTACAAAAGGGTGGATTTTTATCCAGAGAATTATCAATGGGCTGAGGGGGGAGATCACTCAAAGATTACTGACCCCACCCTGCCTGTCAAACAACCCTCACTCCAGGCTCCGCACGTCCCCTGCCCTGCACTAAGGGCTTAGCTTCTCCACGGACCTCACTGGGAGAAGGGAGAAGCCTTAACCTGGAGCGTGCCTGATCAGAGAGTCACTGGGGGCATCCACAGAGCGAGGGCGGAGCCACCTGTTCTTTTATGCTGCCCCTCTGAAATCCACTCTGGGCATCTGCTCCCTGCGCTCCCCAGGGGAGATGGAGTCAGCCTCTCTCCTATCACAGCTGAGTGCGGTGTCGATAAGGGGAGATACTTTGTGTCCGTTCTCATTGCTGTGGAACCAGAGCGCCACCCCTAGGAAATCCCTTCCCCTTTTGTCTGAGCTCAGACCGGCTTCCCCTCCTGTGTGTCTTGTCTCGCCCAGTAACAGCGGGCGGTGTCCTCGGGTTTCAGGCCGGTCATTTGTAATTATGCCGTGGTGATGGAATTGTCTCTGGAGCTGGTGAATCGCCCTTTGACAGCCTTAGCATATCACTGGTTCGATCCGCTTCCGGAGCTAATTCCAGCCACGCCACCCACTGCAGCCCCTTCCTTGGAGCCTTTTGGACCCAGTGCCTGGCGTATCTGCTGCAGGTGAACCTGGAAGCTTTGCAGGAGAGGCGGAGAGAGTCTCCGGGCTTTTTCACATCCCTGCCGGACTTCACCAGCTGCACTTGCGAGCGGGCACCTGGGAAGAAAGACACAATAGAAATCACATAGAAAGGGCAATAGTATCACATTCGCCTGCCTGTGCAAATTACTCAGGGGACAAAAATACCTCCCAAAACTGCAAAAATGAAAACTCTATGGAGCCAAAGTCTCTTTTCCCTGGTTTGGAGGGAACATTCTGGCAACTACACAGACCCAGGGGGCTGCGGATTGTCTCTCCGGGTGTAGCCTGGGCAGAGAGAGGGACAGATTTAAACAGGAGACTGTCACCTTCATTTGCATATCCTCTTCCTTATAGGAGACAGACTCCTTCCATCAACCATGTTAATTACCCTCCGCAGGGCTCTGAGATGAGTCAGACTCGCTCTGTGTTTCTGCAACTAACAACCTGCAGTGGGCTCCGCCACTGACAGACGCTGTCCTGTGCAGGTTGTGTCTCCGGGTGCAGCCTGGGCAGAGAGGGGCTGATTTATAAGGAACGCAAACTCCTTCCCTGCAGGCTGTGAATTTCTTGCCCCAGGGCTCAGAGACGAGTCAGATCCCCCACCCTCTTCCTGTTTGTCTGTGCAGCGCCCAGCCCCAGAGCGGGGGGGTATAAAGAGGAAAGAAGCAGCTGCCAGATGAGATGTGAGCCCAATTCTCCGCTTATTAATGTAGGGCCTGATTGTCATCAGAAATCCGGGCGTGGGGAAGGGGTCTCCTCCGGAGCCCCCGCCTCTGCGAATGTCGGGCCAGGGAGGTCAGTGATGGGGAGGGGTCGGGTCACAGGGTTGCACTGGGCTGGGACATCCACTGGAGGGTGGCGATCGGGGTGTGTCCGGGAGTCTTTCTCTAGGTGAGGCTGTGGGCAGCGCAGAAGGGAGACGATTATTAAACATCGAGATTCATATTGTTTTTCACATTCCCAATCCTGTTCCCATTCTCACTCCCACTGAGACCTCGGTTGTAAACTCACTGGGGCAGAGACAGTCCTGATGTTCTGTTTGGTACAGTGCCTAGCACTTTGGGGTCCGGCCTGGTCTGTGATTGGAGCCTTAGGTGCTTGGACCACAGCCACCCCAGCTCCAACACTAATAATAAAAATAGCAGCAATAGTAATAATAATAAATAATAAATTCCATTCTCACATTCATACCCTATAACCACCTCCCTGACACTCATCTTTCCATTCCTCTCTCCAGTCTGACGCATGTTCTCTTTAATATCCCTGGGCTCATTCTCACACATGCTGATGTTCCCATTAACACTCATCTTCCTGTTTGCATGTTTTTACATTTTCCTTTTCACTCTCCCGCACTTGTACCTGTGTCCAGTCACACGCCTTTCCCTGTTCTCTTTCCCACTCACCGCTCCATTCCTGTTCTCACTGAAATTCCTAGTCCCATCCCTACTCAGATTCCCATTGCAGGGGTAGGCGCCTGGGCATTCGGCCCTGAATTAACTCTAAGCACAAACAGAACCAGGGCAGTGTTTGAATGTGCTCCCAGTAATGGTACCAATCAGTGCAAATGTCACTCCCAGGAAGCCACATGGCCTATTAGACAGGATGCTACAGTGAACCGGAACAGCACAGGGGTTTCTTTTGGGGGTGGCAGAAGTTGAGGGGTCAAGAGTGAGTTAAGGCAGGAGAAGTGGAGCTGGAAGGAGCCTTTATGAACTAATTAATGCCTGTAATTAAACATCTATATTCGTATATGCCGGCTGTGAAATTAAGCGTGGGAAGAAAATGAAATTAAACCACTGGTTTCTTTGTTTACTCTCCTTTGTACCGAATGGGGTCACTGTTACTGGCAGCCCTTGAGGCCACCAGGAGATACAGTCTCATGCCGTCGTGGAGGAAGGTTTTTGGCTGAGGTCAGGTTGGTTTCCTTTCCCTCTGATGAATGCACGGTAAATACGGGGCGGGGTTCTGTTCTGGACTCAGGCCGCCAAGTTTTTGCAGAACTGGGACTAGAGCCCACGTGTCCCCAGACCAGCCCAGTGGGCCAGCACGTACACTGCAGTACCCCAAAATAAACTCTCCTAAGGGAGCCACCTCAGTGGGACAGTGCTGCTTCCCTGGAGCAGGCTGGCTTGCCGCAAAGGAGGGAAGGGCCTGGGACCAGCCAACCCTGATTACAAAGGAGCCAAACCTGGGCGAGATGAGGTGATTGCCCTACAAAGAGCAGCAGGAGCTGCGGTGAAAGGGGAATGCTCGGTGCTCGTCCGGCAGAAAGTCCTGGGGGTTAGGACAGAGACTCCGGCCAGGCAGGGTAATCGATGGGACCGAGTGTAAATCCCCCCAGACCCGGTGAGGAAGGGCCGGCCCCTGGATCCTGCTTTCTGTGGCTCTAGGGTTGCCTAAAGCAGCAGGTGAATCTGAACCATTTCAACTGACCAGACTGACTCGCTGGTGAGAACCCCCAGCAGCCGGACTGTCGGCATCAAACCAGCAGGGATTTCCTCTGCTAACCGCAACGGGAGGTTTTTGTCTGAGCTCAGACTGGCTTCGCCTCACTGTGAATCCTGCACAATGATACCGGGCGGTGTCCTCGGGCTTCAGGCCGGTCATTTCCAGATACAACAGGCTGTTGGGGTCATCTCTGGAGACGGTGAATCGCCCTTTGACCGAGTCACTGTAGTATATGCTGGTGCTGTAAATGTAGGCGACCCACTCCAGTCCCTTCCCGGGAGCCTGGCGGACCCAGCTCATCCGGTGGCTGCTGAAGGTGTATCCGGAACCCTTGCAGGAGAGGCGGAGAGAGTCTCCGGGCTTTTTCACATCCCCTCCGGACTCCACCAGCTGCACCTGGGACCAGGCCCCTGGGAATAAAGACAGGTTACAAATTACTCCAATTTCAGTGGCAACAGTGTAATGTTCCCCTGTTCCCCCAGCACAGTTATGGAGCTAAAATACCTTCTAAAGCCGCTACAATGAAAAACAAACAGATCCAAAGGCCCATTTTCTCTGGTGTTGGAGGGGAAAGTTCTCAGGGGAATTGGCTGATAAATGCACAGACACAAACGGCTCTGGATTATCTCTACGGGAGCAACCTGGGCGGGGGTGGGGGGGATTTGCATATTCTTTATTTCCTATTTGCATTTTCTCCTCCTTTTAAGAGAAACAAAATCTGATGTGATGTATTACA